AGGTAGGTTTTTGCGGCTACAGGTAAGCCCTAAACCCTATAAGTGCGAACCTGCACAGACACCCGAAGCAGGTCACGGCGACCCCAAAGGCGACCCTTGAGGGTTTAGGGTTTAGGGTTTAGGGTTTACCTTGAGAACCAAAACGCCCAAAATAACAGGCTACCGTGCGTAAACGAGCGCCTTTGCTAAAGTTGCTTACAAAACCAGCTCCCAGAATCAACGGGAAATCAAAAAGGTCACTGTGACCATTATCAATCCCAAAGCATGAATCTTCAGGTTTTGCATGAATTTAGTCAGGGTTTCAACGGCTTCTTTCGGGAATCTATAGGTAATATGCATATAAATAACCGGTCAGGTTTGTGATTTTCAGGAGTTGCCAAGTAAAAGTAGTTTCAGAAACCCTGTCAATTCCCATGGTGACGGCCTCAGGGCTCCCCGCCGCAGCTTCCACCAGAATCTTTGTGTAATTGACTACGTGTTTATAGACATGTGTATATACATATCATACATATATATATATATACACATACATATACATACACATACATACACACATACATACAGATACATACATATATACATACATATCGGCATACTGCATACAAATACATACATATACATACATGTACATACATATACATGCATATACATATACATACATACATATACATACATAGACAGACAGACATACATACATACATACATACATACAGACATACATGTACATGCATATACATACATATATATATATATATATATACATACATACACACATAGACAGACATACATACATACATACATACAGACATACATGTGCATACATGTACATACATGTACATACATGTACATACATGTACATACATGTGATACATGTACATACATGTACATACATGTACATACATGTACATACAGACATACATACATGCATACATACATACATACACACATACATACACACATACAAACATACATGTATACATATATTTATCGCTATGTATGTATGTATGTATGTGGTATGTCTGTATATTTCTTCTATATATTATATCATTTTGTTGGTACACATATATGTATAGTATATACATGATATATGCCCTCATATGTCTGTGCATGTACATTACATATCTGTCATTACATTATCTATATTGGTAGATATGTCTGTTTGTTTGCATGTCTATGCATATTATGCTAACAATCCCCTGGGTGCTCTATGCTTGGAGGTGCAAAGAGTGTTTGCCACGCCGAGTTTGTGCTCTCGCACGACCGAGGGTAAA